TTTAAAAAATTATTATATAAAATTATTTGAAACTTAATTTTAAAATTAGATTATTTTAAAAATCTTTTAAAAAACTTGAAATCTTTATTAATAAAATTAATAAAATATATATTAAACTATATTTTTTATATAATAATGATATGAATAAAATTAATATTTAATATTTTATTAAGAAATTAATCCTTTTTTTTTAACTTCGCAGGCAAATTTGCTTGCTCTTCAGTCTAAGAGATAGCAGTTTATAGCAAGTATATTATAATAAAATATCAGATTCATTTTTTATTTGATTATATGCATATTGAGGGTTTATATAAAGTCCACATCTGGCTATATGCATATTCACATACATGTAAGGGATTTTCTGATGGCATAATTTGGTTAAATTAATTCCAAGATAATATAATGACTAAATTATTCTCAGATCTATTAATCAGAGAAGTATGACATATATCATATCATAGGAATCATTCTAGCTCCCTATCAGTTTCATGATAGTTCTTAAATACTTCTTTAATGTTAGCTAGTCACTAAAGTTACGAGATGATTGGCTAATCATAAAAGGCAACTAAGCTACCATTATCATTCAAACTAATCATTATATATTTATCATACTTGTTGTTCACATTATTAGATATTTCTTTATAAACAAGCATCCATTCCCTAGGATTCTTTCATTATGTGAAATTATATCTTCTATCAAGTAGAGTGATGCACAGACCCAACTTCCTTATTGACAAACAAAAACAGAGAAATGCTGAATTCCACCTTACTCTGAATAAGAAGAAATAACTTTTCTGGGACGACATTGCTAATAAGATTAACGAATGGGAAAATACAAATTATTTTACTGATGAGAACTTTAATAGGAAGTTCATAAATCTCAAAAAGTCATTTAAAGTAAGTGGTGATTACTGGGTTCTTTGGAGGAATCTGCCTTAGGTTGATATAATTATTTTTTATTAGACAGCTCAAAAATATAAAGAAGGTAATGAAACTAAAAGAAGTTTAGTTGGCGAAAAGATTTATGAAGAGTTTTCTAACGAGTTTTGGTTAAAACCAGGTATATATATACCTTTGACAAATGGTTATAAGCCCAGCTATATTACTAACATTGTGAATCTATTTTCTAGAACTACCATTTGATCATTCTTAATTTTGGTGATCTCCGCAGTAATAGACGCATTATTTTTTATATCACAAGCGGAGAGTTCATCAGAGATTTTTTGTTTGAGAATCGTCAACATGGTAACAATCCCTATGAATATGATCAAAATTACGAGCAAAAAAATAGCGGGTAGAGCCAAAAACGACAAGCTTCCCAAAGAGTTGAAAATTGTTAAATTGGACATGATATAAATAGAGTAATTTTATTAAGCAAGCTTATTGGTGGATCACAGTTATTTAGAATGAACGATTTTTTTTGTATACATGCACTAGGGACACAAGGCTCTTTTATACTTTATTGTTCCTAATGCCTGTGAAATGGATATTTAACCCGATTTGTCAGAGTGAAGTAAAAAATTACGTTATTGCTTCATAAGGGCGTTTCCCACCAATTGTTAAAAAATACAGTTTAACCGTTCCCAAGTTAATCCGATGAAATCATGAAATTATAACAAATTGATAGATGCCAGTTAATTCTAATGAAGTAATAAAAAGGGAGTTGTTACTGTTTAATATTAAGATCGCACAAGATCTGAAAACCATAGCAGATCGCTCACGTTTATTTGTGTAATTACACGCTGTTTTAAACCCCTATTCGTGTCCTATACAAATCTACCAACAACCCATAAATGGAATTTTGTTTTATTATGTAGAATGGATATTGTACCCCTAATCCCTATTACATTTCATAAGATCGAGGTCTGTAAATCGGTAGATCAAGACACTCAATTCCCTCAGGGCAGTGGATCAATCTGTGTAACGCGTAATTCAAAGATTCGTAATATATGTATCGTGCCAGAATTTTCCGGAAAAAAGCGAATATCACTACCGGATTAATTATTTATTGATCTAACCCCACGATCTAACCCCAAAGATTTGCAAAATATCTGAAGACCTTGGCCCTGGCTTCATTGTTACAAAAATAGCACTCTGTTGATCCTCCTAGCCATTATTACGAAAATAGCACATCTGAAAATAAAAACACTGCGGAAATGGCACAGGCGTAGTTAAATCATATAGAGATACGTACTTACTGCACATGATATATTTTTTTGCCTGGCAAGAATTTACCAAATACCAAATAATCTTCTATGCATTTCAGGTGATAGATCTACTAAGCGTCTCACATGACCGGCCTATGCTTCCACCTCGCTATATCTAAACATACAACCTATATGATAAGATCCCTCCATATATCGACCTACTATATTTTCTATATGATTCGTCTCGCATGATGGACATAATGAAGATTTTGTCTTGCAATGATATACATCTTCAGATCTGTCATTGCTACAGCTAAAAGATATTCCGGAGTAAAGCTTTAAGACTTTATTGCGGAAATATGCCTGGTCGTGGATTGGATTATTGGGTTGAGGAATAGGTGTTACCACAGCTTTGGACGAATTCTCTGGGCGGATTCCAGAAGAATTATCTGAAGAATCACCTGAAGAATTGGAGACATGAGTAATAGGATGGTAAACTTACCTCTTGTGCCTCCGACACTGGAAGAATCATCATTAATAGAATTGTCTTGATCATCGCTAAAATCTATACTGGGCTTATTTGAGAAATGATCCATAATCCTTTGGATTTCATCTTCTGCGATAAGTGCTTTATCACATAACTGAGCCAAATGCTGAGATACTTCTATCATACTGGCTTCTTGGGATGAGAATTCTGAATTAATAGTGTCAGATTTCTGAGACCGCGCAGTCTTGAAAAATTGCCAAGCGAATACAAAATTGGGACTGCGCCCGTGATACACAAAGTTTCTAAGCTAATGTTCGTGGACCACATACACAAAAGTCCATTTCCTATTGTTTTTTTCATCCTTGCTCTCTTACTAGTGGGAGAGCTTCAACTTCCACCTTATCATTCAACAAATCCACAATTACTTCCATAACTTTTTTTTACACCTCCGCACCACCATCATCCAATATATTCTTGTTAAGATTGACTTTTGTACAATAGATTCTTTCCGATGTATAGCATATCTGAGTCCGGGCTGTAAGATCAGAGGCTGAAAGACGGAAATAGAAGTTAGCTGTAGCCTGGTATTATTTGTATGAAAAAAATATATAAGGGTTCTCTTAGCTGAAATTGCCTAAGAATACCCAGAAAGGACCAAGAAAATTCATGCGATTGAGATTTTGCAAATCAACGATTACATTTTATTTAGCCGATATAGAGTTACACTACATATAATAGATAAATGATAATTTAGTAGCAACTAGCAAGGTAGATAAAAATTTTTTTCGATGTAAGTTGTCTATCAATAAAAACTATCTGAATGTTCCCTTTTATTTGAGTTACCAGTTCTTCGATGTGATAGAACTCAGCTTCTAGCAATAGTTCTTCAAGCAATGATTTGTTGTGAAGAGTTCTTTTCGGTAAAACACTTGTTCTCAAAAATTCGAGAACATACTTCAATAATTCACCATTTCGGTCGATGAAAATGTTTCCATCATAATCCAATGTGTCAAAAACATTTCCATTAAGAGGCATCTCAAAAAAATTCGTTTTTTTTAAAAGTGTTCCTTTGGTGGTGGTGTAGAGTACGCCACCAACATTAAGCGTAACGAGGATGGTACGAGAGCCATTTCCATGTGATGATTCGTTCTAGTAATGCAATAAACAAAGTCAATTTACTATAAATCGGTTGAATTATTGACAAAAATAAATTATATTACCTCAATTTTATACACAGTAAATTCGCTACTCCCAGCCATTTTTGAAGGTAAAAAACTAGTCTTTGTCCCATCGGGAAAAGTAAATTCTTGTCCTTGCACGCGTTGATATAAAGTCCCAGCTTCATTTTCGGTTTCAAAGTGAACATGTCCGTACGATTTATCTAATGTTTTAAGAACATGGGATACCCCTACTGAAAATTTTGTAGAAATAAAATCCTTGATCTCTTGACTGCCTTTTCCATTTAGTTGACCTCCTACGAATACAGATTTATTTAAAGGACAACAAGGAGTCGTTTTAGTCATTTTTCGTTTCTTAAGACCTAAATATAGGATAAAAAAGTGAAAGCGTAAGAAACATAATCATGACGCAAAAAATGTAAAGCGTGAGCATGAGCGTGAGCGTGAGCGTGAACATGAGCATGAGCGTGAGCGTGAGCGTGAGGATGAGCATGAGCATAAGCATAAGCATAAGCATGAGCATGAGTACTCCCAAGAATCCATTTCTATGTTTGTTACGAAGGGAGGTACATAACCGATTCCTCCTCCAGAATCGGTAGACCTTCAACATAGTAACTTCTTGTGAGCATAACTGATAAGCATGAGCGTGAACGTAAGCGTGAGCGTGAGCGTGAAGAATCCATTTCTTCGCTTACCTCCTTCAATAATATAAATCGACATTTGAGAGATACGCGTATAAATATTTATGTGTAAGGAATCCTCGCAAGAAAAGTATTAATAAAATGAAATTTATTTTGGCTACTATATTTATGGAGTTTTCTTGTGATACATTATGACGTTTTCTACTAAACATAATTATATAGTATAAAAATCCCGTGTAATCATAATCATCAGAATCTTGACATCATTTCTCGTTCAAGCTCAGTGATACGCAAACAATCTACAACAATAATCAAATATTTACAAAAAAATATGGTAAATGAAAACTTTAAATTAACAGTAGAAAATAAAAAACCGGTAGAGATGGTATATGAAATAAAAGACGAATATAAGGTTCCTAGTTATGAGGAGTTTATGAAAACTTATGAGAGTGATGGTAATTTGGATTATGCTGATTTAAGTGGTGGTAGTGTTGGAACACCAAACGGTTATGGTCCAGGTCTTTGGGAACGTGAAGAAATGATAATGAGGAACTGGAAAAAGGGAAAGTAGAAAAAGGCACGAGGAAGAAAGAGAAGAAAAAAATACAAAGGACTTTGTCTAAGTGATAATTGCTAAGAACGAAGAAGATATAGGGATAATGAATACTGTGGCAAATATCGTGAAGAATATGAGGATAGAATTAAGTTCGCAAAATGAATGGGTAAAACAGCCTTAGGTATTGGCGCTAGTGCTCTTTTAGGTCCGGCTGGTTCCTGTTTCAATACTTCAAGTTCGGATGTCATGATTGTTAATATTTTTTATACGATAGGAAATAATCAATGTTGTGTGGCAAATATAAAACACTTTATAAATACATGCAAAAATAAATACAAAGTTCGGGACATTGCCCGTTATACATGACGACTATGATAATAACTATGGACATATACCGCCTATTTTCTCTTGATTTTTTCTTCCACACGACGCTTCTTAGACGCAGGTTCTTCACTAGCTGAGACCCTATCCTTTAACAAACCAACTATAACCTCCAAAATCCTCTTCACATTTCTGCGCAAATCGCTTAGATCCTTGAGAGCGTCTTCAGTCAATGAAATTCGATACTCAGTCCTGCTTGTACAGTAGATAGCCTTAGTGCTGTGGAGGATGAAATACCATTCCGTGGCTGTTGAGACGATACCATAAACATACTCATAATCGGACTTGAACGCCTCATCAGCCTTACGTTTTTTCTTGAGCATGTCGAGGTTCATCTGTATCGAGATACTGTAAGTGAGTCAGTATGAACGATGAAAAGATTGTAGAATAAAATCAAATACAACTTCCAGAGGATTATCAAAAGTTTCCGAACACTAAGTTTGACATCGTATATCTCAAGATGCACCGATCAGAATTAGTTCAAATTTCATATATTATTGATACAATCTCAATCTATAATATATTAAAATTTCATTTAATTTGAATCGGTAGAAGCTGAGGTATGTATGTAAACGTAAATGCATAAATATTTTTGATTTTAGATTTTAGTTAAAGTATTTGAAATATATTTTCTAAATATTTAATGATTCAAATTAAATAAAATTTAAGTATATAATAAATCAATATATTATTTATAAAATATTAAAATTTGAGCTGA